AGATTTAAACATATTCAAAACCAAAATAACTTAAAAATATAATTTTCGAAAGAAAAATAAAAAAATATGCCAATAGTGAGTTGCCAATAATTTTTGTCTCATAACCTACCTGTAATTTTTTATTTTTCTAATTGCATACTAAAATTCCTTCCACCATTTTTCTACGCTAAATATTATTTAAAGCGGCTGTAATGTCAATGCAAAATTGTTGTTGTCTCATATTTTCTGCTTGTTAAACATTCATCGATCAATATCATTAACATTGAAACGCAATAATTTTCGCGATATGCTCATTGCAATTACTAAATTTAGATATTTCAACAATGCTTAGGAGCTTAAGAGTTAACCGAATGAAAATTGGTCTATCGAAGGCAAAGTGCATATAACCACTTATCTTCACATACCCACATACATGCATATATATGTATGTATATTTAGTAATGTTGGCGGCTTCCATACAATTATATCTCATTTCATCCATAAACGCAATGACGTGTCGCTGTTGGCATCGATAAATAAAAAATCGTGTGCAACAATTTAGAATCACGCCATTGTAATTTAACAAATAAATACATATATATGTATTTATATTTATAAATACCATACACGTAATAATTATGCGACCGCCGTTTAAATGTCACTATTAGCGGCTCGTGTTACCAATCAATTAATCGATTATAAATTCATCTCTGCAATTAGAGATACATTGTTGCTAAATTATAATCTTAGCAAATATGTGCACAAAGATTTCAAATATTTTTCATATTTAAGTAGAGACGAAATAGGTACTAGTTCCCCTCTAAAAATCCGTCGAGATAATTAAGTGGGTATTTAGTAGTTGAATTGATTAGAAAAATTTTAAATTCTACAGTAAGAAAAGAAATATGAAAAGGTTGCTCCTAAAAATCATCATTTGTAACAGAAAAGTTACAATCTATACAGGAATTAGGATTAAGCAAATCAAAATATACAAATGTTCCTTCTTTGTACCCAACGATTTGCAGAGGGTCTAGCTGAAAACACATATTCCTATTCTTCGTATGGGGCTGTGAATTTCATTGAAAAATAATAGATTTAAAGTTATAAAAGTACTGCCTTTCAGAAAGTATTTCTTCCTTACCTTAAGCTTGACATATACCAGCTCTCAAAAACTCAAAATCCAATTTGTCAAATTTTAAAACTATGTTGAAATGGTTTGCGGTTTGGCTTTTTAATTTAGACTTAAACATACTCCGTTGTTTTAAGATTGGGACCTCGTGCCCGAAAACTCTGCGCCTATTTAGCCATGAAAACAGCAAATCCTGCACACCCATCACAGCTACATTGCAAAGAGAATGCTGTAGATGAAATTTTAGATAGTAATTTCCAAGTCATAGTTAGATAGATAGAAAATAATTGAGTTTTTGCACTGTGATCTATGGTCTAGATCACATATGGTCGCAAACATCCAGCACTCTGAATAATTCCAGAAGCTCCCCGACTGAGTTGATGTGATCTCTGTCCACGTAGATGGATATTAGAGCCTTAGCATGATTCCACAAATTGCTAGGCAATCTAGAATGAAGTGTTCTGGAGTTTCCTGTTGCATGTCGCAAAACCGGCAGTTTGTGCAAGAGACTACTCCCTTGTTGGACAAATACTTCCAGAGTCTGCAGTGCCCTGTATATGTTGCAGACTGATATGCGGTTCAACGTTCCTATACACTACCGCACTATTATCGATTTGACCTCTTGAGCTGAGATCACTTTTATTGCCGCTTGGTTATCACTGAGTATAGCGAAGGCTGGTTGTGGTCCCGCATTTGTATGAATAGTTTTGTATGCGGTCCCGCAATGCCTGCTCCAATTCATTCCGGTGTTTTCGAGCCGTTACTGCCGAGAGTAACTCTTAACTTCTTTGTGAAGTTTACCCTCTTCGTAACGCCGTCACTTGGAAGAAGTGCCAGTTTTGTGTTTTCCCCCTAAGGAATTCATTTGTTAAGACAACATTATCTTACCTTTGCCAAACCCATGCCATGAGCAGCTGTTTCATTGCCTGTTTTATCACTATATGTGAGCTCCAGCTTGACTTCAAGTGCTGCAAGTTCCAAGGTATACCAATTGGGCAAAAAAATATTGTCTAAATTTCGATTCTTCCAATGTGATATCAAGGAATGTATTAAACTCGGAGATTACAGTTTCCTTGTCGCTAAATCTAGAGGACTTACCGTACAACTTTTCCAATCAACTTTTTTCTTAAGACTCATAGTTTCGCCGGTAATAGAGTTAAACTATTTCTAACCCTTAAAAATTCAGACAAGCCCCTTCTCTGCCTTTGCTCGATCTTAGATCGCAAGTAAATTATTTTTCCCTTGAAAATCTTTTTTTGTCATTTTTAAAGGCTTATGTTTAATAATTCCACCACGCTATTTTTTAAGCTTACAGAAAGAAGCAAGTTGTGTATGGTCTGACCATGAAAAAGAAGTACAAATGACTATTTTCGACCAATATCGAACGCGCGCATGCGAGTAGATAAATTACCGTATTCAGCTGTCCCCCTAGTGGTCAATATTGCAGCCTTGATACTGTTTCGAGTGCAAATTTTTGGTTTAACATTGAAAAGTGACGCCACACAAAATTACAAAACTCAGTTACCTTGTCGACTAAGTAGCTAATTATAAATAAAATTTATTGCATTTGGTAAGGCTGATAATTAAAATGCTGTCAAATCGTAGATGCAAGCATTCCTTAGCTACGAATACACGCCGGGCAGTGGCCACACAAATGCTACAATTCTTTAGTTACCGTTATACAGCAGCTGCTTAATTTGCCACTAGCCATATTTGATCTGAACGGGAGTTACGTAATCGTTTAGCTATCAAATTTTTGATTTAGATATTCGCACAAAAACAACTATAAAAAACATATATGATAGTTTATGCAACACAGACATATGTAAGTATGTGTTTGGCATAAGTTTTTAATTGAATGCTTGTTTTTATTATGCGACTAGGCAGCATATAAATATGTTCCTATGAATGAGAAATCAATACTTAAATAGCTTCAATGATTCAGTACTCCTCCTCGTAATGTCAAGGAATGCTTCCTTATAAAGGGTGATCCATTTTGAAGTTCCTTGCGCAGAAATTTCAAATATAATGTAAAGAAACGCAGAAACCTCAAATTTAATGGGAAATGCTTATATTAATCGAAGTTGATTCTTTGGTATTTATTTTTTTTATGTGTATCTCATTCAAATATTGACCGCGGTTACTTCTTAGATGATCCATCCGTTGAGACCAATTTTCGTTGACTCACGCGAACACTTCGACAGTAAACTGGACATATGTACATATCCCCACAGGAAAATAACGAACGGCATGATATCACACGATACTGGTGACCAGTCCACCGACCCAAAACGTGAAATTATCTGCTCAATAAATCCATTGATTTATGCGATGTGTGATGATGTCGCCGAGATCACGAGCTTCAATTGCAGGTATAAAATAGTCGGTTATTAAGGTGCGATAACAGCATCATTTTTAAGAAATATGGATCATTGATTCCAGCGGTCCACAAACCACACCAGTCATCGTTTTTTCTAGAGGAAATTGCACTCTTGAATATCTTCAGTTTGCTCTTCGTCCCAAATCCAGAAATAGACCTCATCGCTGAACAAAATCTGCCAATCGCAGACAGAAAGAATCGATCTGCCTCTCCGACGGAAGAAAATATGTAAGATCAACTTGTTGCTTTGCAATCACATTATTCTTAATCTCACATGTCTTCGACGATATCTTGTGTTAATAATATTTTGGGGTTACAAGCCTTTCAAATAGGAAATATTTCTTACTAGAATCTATGTATATATATGTAGAAATTTAAGTTTATGATAGAACATACATACTTTTCAGGAATGATCAGCCGGGGGTTTTAAGGGAAAAAGTTTTTATAGAAGATCGACTATCTTTTCCTAAAGTCCATCCGGCATTATAAGTTTAATTAAAATACTGCACCCGGAATTTGTTATAAAATTCCCCAGTAAACGATATCTCCAAAAATGTATTTCGCTAAGTTGGTAGGGCTATCCTTAATTACTATGTCAAATATGAGCGCGATCTGTTAACCAATTTGTTAACAGCAGCTGCTTAAGTCGGTATACCTTAGTACTACGTTGTGATTTTTACAATGGATAAAAATATCGAAGAAAGAATTTGTCTAAAGTTACGTATTCTAACCAAATTTCGTATGCGGAATTGCTGCGAATGTTGAAAAACTTATGGGGGTTCAAAACATAAGCCTACGAGTGGCACAAATCCCTCAAAGTTGGTCGAGGGACATGCCTCGTTCCGGACGACCTCTTCAACTGATAAAAATATTAAAAAAAGTGAAGAACATGGTGCTTGAAAATCTTCGGGCAAGTGTTAGAAAGATCGCAAGAGATCGACATATCTGTTTAGGGTATGAAACGCGTTCTTACTCGACTTCTCCTGATAAAGCAGATTTTTTTTTTCAAAACAGGTGTCTTTGAATATTATTGCTCGTGCAAAAACCGAAACCACATTCATGGAGAGCTTTATAACTACCGATGAGACATGGCTTCATGAGTTTGACATGCACACAAGTCAACAGTCATCGAAAATTAGAAAAAATTTTACACCTTTTTTTTTTTTATTAATCATATGTATTCTTTATAAATATTGATTCTGCATCGGCTATTTTTTGAGCTTTATGCAAGCCAGACTCTGTTAATTATTAAAAACTATTTCCTGAAAATAGAGTAATAAAAGTATATCTTAGTGGCAGGGTATACCGAGGAGTTCAACATTTTTGAGGACGCGGATATAAGTATATACATAYGTGTGATGAATTGCGAGATCTTTCTTTCTTCCGTTTATTTGAGACTTTTACTAATTTTCCTCAAGCCATAATAAAATTAATATATTTTTGTATTTCATCTACTTCTATAGACTTTAAAAAGTATTCCATTATAAATCATTTCACTCTTCTTCATCACAGCTGTTCCTGCTGCATATGGATGAGATCACTGCAATTTGTGCGAACGGTAATGGAGCAGTTGCACCAATTGGCTGCTCAAGCATAATCGTGAATAATGAGAACTCGGTATGTATGTATATAAAAAAATACGTTCTCAAAAAAAAAAAAAAAAAGAATATTGAAATCTTGTAATTGTCCAGCGTGTACTCGCTCACACCGAAGATGCCTTGGCGGCGACACTCAACCATTATTACTTTGTGGTGGCACATATCATCAACGACACGCCACAGGGCAAACACAAGGTGAAGGAGGAGCGTTTCATGTCGCTCTGCTACGCCGGCCACCTGCCCGGCTATACGATGAACTACAACCATCATGGACTGGTGTTCACCATCAACACTTTGTCGGCGCTGCATTTGAGAAGTGGCAAAACACGTAGGCAAATATTTGCATTAATTAATGTCAACTATAATTTAGACGTGGACTGATGTTTTAATCTCTTACTTAAACTAAATTCATTTCCACAGCTCGCCATTTCATCACACGCGCGCTCTTGAGCGCCGAAAACTACGAACAAGCGCTCGCTGTGCTCAGGGATGAGGGGGTCGGCGCTGGCGATGGCTGTTCCATCAATTTGTCTTTCATCAAGTAAGCACACTTTATTTTTCCAACGGCAAACACTACAAATATTCATTTCCTTCCTTTTCAGCGAAGTGCCTCACAAGTTCTACAACATCGAAATGGCACCAGTATTAGAAGATGGCACGGCATCCCGTCTTGACATTAAAGAGATTTGCTGCGGCGGTCACAATTGCCACGCCAACAGGTAGGCTTAACACAAACGACTTGACTTTCAACGAAATAAATGTACTACTAACTTTTCTGTGTTGCAGGTATGAGCGTCTCTGCACCGAGGAGGCCAATCCGTGGCTGTTGGCTTCGAGCAAATCGCGCATGAACACCTTCGGCGAATATCCGCCACCTAGTTGCAAGGGAGATGTTGTGAAAATGTTAGGTGATTGCAGTGGCGGCGAGTATTGCGTCTTCAATGAAAACAATACATTGGATGAGCTGGTCAAAACCATTGCTGTGGGCGTTTTCGATTTAAATAAAAAAACAGTTGCCTTATACTCAGACAATCCGAGCAAGACTGAGCCGCAATGCGTTCTTCCGCTTATTCTCAAGGAGAAATAAACTTTAAATTACTCATCTAAATAGAAATTGTTAGTGTTAAAAGTATAGTATAACTGAAAATGAACCACTGTACTTACAGTTAGATAAAAATAAGTATATACAACTCAATATGTGAAACTTTGTGAAAACAAAAAAAAAAAAAATTAAAAATAGAAAATAAATATTTTAAAAATGTATATATGTTTGAGTGTACATATATTTAAAGGGTCAGTAAGGCAATCTGGCCCTTTTTTTATTTTTATTTTTTTTCATAGAAATATTTATTCCACAATAGAACTTTATTCATATATCATGAGGTATATCGTGTAGTGTATAAACAAATTTTTTCGGAATTTTTTCTTCTGAAACACAAAAACCCAATTTATTCTTAAAAAGTATGTGAATGGTTACCATCTCTACTAGAATGTTGATAAATAAAAAAGTAATTAACGTTTTTTTATTTTTCCCGTGTTTTTTACATACATTTTGTCTTAACATTCTCAATGAAATATAATAAATTATGAATCTAGTACGGACGATAGCCAGGCGTTTTGTGAACATTAAACAAAAAATAAGCAAATCGGTTGAGTACAAGTGGATAACTAAATCGTAGTCAAATTTTAACAAACCACAAACTGAATCCTAAATGCTTCTGTGCATAGTTTAAATCAGCTTCACTTATTTTGAATGTATTCATTTAAAAACTCCAATATTTGAACTTACAGTTCGACCGAAATCATGTCCGCCAGTTTAAAAAAGTATGTTTTGAGAAAAACGCATTTAAAGTTTGAGATGTGCACTCTAAGCGCTCCGAACGTTGAGCGGTTTTATTATTTTTGGGCCTATTTCGAAACTTTCCAATTGTAAAGTGGATTTCTACATTAATTCTAAGCGTATAAGAGAACAGAAAATGAAAAAAAAAAAATTATTTTTTTGTAAAAAGAATTACCCTACTGACCCCTAAGATTCAATGGTGCATTTTTTTGGTAACAAGCAAAATAGCTGAGCTGGGATATTAACCTTCTTCATATTCTTTGCATCGGTATTTATCTAAACTGCAAGACCTATTCGATCGACGGATTTCTCAGAACTCAGTCCCTCATGACATCGTTTTAGAAGTAAGACGACATAGAAAACAAAAAAAAAATTTTTTAGAAAACTTTTAAGTTCCCTTCTCAATACCACCCGAGCAACATTCTTAGCCATATATTATAATATGTATAATTGATGTCCACAATTAAACTGAAACCTATAGAGACAAAACAAAGAGTATGTTTTATAATTCTTAAAATTACTTAAATGTTTGCACAGATCTTTTTGAGTTGTAGAGTTATTTCAGTTCTAATTAGGACCTTGTTGTTGTTGTTTTAGCTAGTTGCCGACGTCATCTAACGGGAGGCCCAAGAAACGTGCTGTTTCGACGGAGTCGGATCAAAGGGAAAAGGGAGCCAGAGGAGTGGGGTTGGCAGGGCATGCAAAGAGGTGGGCAGTATCATGCGGAGACTTGTTGCACCCATGACATATGTAGGATATGTCGAAGTCTATTCTGGACAAGTAGGAGTTTAACCTGCTACAATATCCATAACGAATCTGCGCAAGGGTCACTGTCGTTTCTCGCGTCAACTGCGAGTACAATATTCACTGGGAGAGTGTCGGTAATGGTGTTGATGGTTCACTGTGAACGGCGATCAGTACGTGTCGAAAATTTGTGGCGTGAATTGACAATAAAGTTTGGTTTTCCAAGACGATTTGCAAAATAAACGATAAAAACCACGACTTAATTTGGAAAATAAATGAAGCAGCCGGGAAATGTTTTCTATAAAAAAAATAATAAGTGTTAAATTCCAATTCGAAAATTAGCATCCTCCTGAAAATTTGCACGAATTCTTTCTTTTCTCTACAAGAAGCTTTTCATATGTCGGAAATGTCATTATCGAACCACTATACCATATAGCTATATCCAACCAAAAACCAAGCGCTTTATGATAAATTTTTATATTTAACAAATTTTATTTTCGAAATCAAGTTAAAAATCTTTTTATAGCCTTTTATTCTATAAATTTCACCTGCGAAGATTACATTAGCTGCGGGTTCTTGCTCTGCGCCGAATATTTTTGAAAAGCCCTGATAATTATGCAAATGAAAAGAACACACGATATTAATAGTTTACTTTAGATTATTATTTCTCTTCACAAAATGTTTATTTTATACTTATATTCACGTATTATGTATATCATATAAATGATACAATTTTATACGCTTACAACGCACTTAAATAGCATGTGAATATGAGAGCTCTTTGATATTATATATATATAATATATCCCAACGCTTAAATAATAGCACTTAGTACAAGTAGATAACTAAATCGTAGTCAAATTTTAACAAACCACAAACTAAATCCTAAATACTTCTGTGCATAGTTAAATCACCTTAACTTATTTTCAATGTACTCATTTAAAAACTTCAATATTTGAACTTACATTATATGAATAGAACGGCGAGTACATTTACTCAATCTGCATGCGATTATTTAAATTGCGTCATTTAAATATCAGTGACTATGCTTAAACGAATCACGTGCTATTGTGATTATATAATTTATTGTGAATAATCGTAGTAAAATAATTGGTTTTTTTTTTTAACAAAATTCAATTCAAATTAGATTTTGACGCGCGTATCACTTTAATTTTCGACCACAAGAACTGTACGTTTTCAAATAATACTTATAAAATATAATTAATTCAATAATTTCGATAGTGATTAAGCTTTCTTTTCTATACATTTTTAAGTTACTCTACTGGTATCTACGAAAGTGTTATTATTAGAGTAAAAGAAAATAATAAAAATTTTCTTTGTAAATTCGCGCACTAGCAGTTGTATTTTTGTTATTTATGTATATTTCTTTAGGATATATTGTGTAGAAGTAACGTTAAGCGTTCATGTAATAAACGGGCATATCGCGCACTTTTAGTTTTTTTTTAGTACCAAATTCAATAATTTGTTTTCCCAAATCTTTTTGCTACTAATTGCCGAATATGATTATAATATTGTGTGTATTGAATAGTTTTCGTATTTCCTTGAGATGTTATAAATTATTTTTCCAGTTTTTTATGAACTTTACTCTCGCAACTATATATCCCTTCTACTGCCTGTGACTGCCATTTAAATGGCTAATTATGCGTAAATTGCTTTAACACTACCATTGTTATGTTAAATTAAAAATTTCTACATGAAACGCTGTCGTTTACTGCTATAATGGCAGATGTCCATTTTATCATCGATGGGACTGGCTGGACGTTTGCAGTGACGGGCGATTTCGTTGGCAACAAATGCAAATAGTTCGGGCCCACTAAAAGTGAGTAAGAAAATTATTATTAAAAAAAAATTAAATATTGCGTTTGTTTATGTAGCACTTACCGTGGCCGCAAGACAAGCGCTTCTTTGAATGTGTGCAAGTCATTTGTTGGCTCATTAGTAGCACCACCGCCGGCTGCTTGATGATGATGATTCTGATGTTGAGCGTGATGGTGATGTGAGCTGTACATATGAGGCGGTGTATGGTGTGAAGCGTTTGTATTGAACACAGCACCGGTGTTTGAGTGATTGTGCGAATGTTCTGGCTTTGGTGAACTAAAGAAAAGTAATAAAGAATACATTTATGTAGTGTTAAGGTTATGTTGAAAATGTTTGTTATTGTTATTTTGTGTGTGGGTGTTTGGTGTTTGATGTTTTAATTATATTTAGAGTTTTGTTAATTTCGCCACTTCAGTAGCGACTCACCGACGATTAGTATTTGTTAACGGCTTGCCAGCCAAATAGGCTAAAAGATCCTCGCGACGTATCATACGACGTTTTTTACTCCTGGCCCAATCGGCTAATTCACGTGTACGCCGCTGATAGCCGCACTGAACAGCTGAGTCACTGGTTCGCTTGACACCATCACATGCTTCTGTGTTGGGGTGCACATGAAAAATTAAAAAAATTCTTAAATTAGAAAGAGTTGCAACAAAACATGACGTGCAAATTAGTGTTTACCTTTGTATAATGTGGTTACAGTGCCTGCAGCTGTTTGAAATGGAAGCCATAATGCGCCTGTATCAGGATACGTGTTTGATGAACGTTCTGCAAATTGCAATACATTTATAAATCAATACTTATTAATTATAAATATAATATTATAAATAGTATATACTTTTGTTAAAATGTCTGAATACATACACATGTATATGATATTAAATAAAAATATTTTTTTTTATATGCATGCTTTTTGAAATAATAGTAAAATGAATTGCTTCTGATATTAAAGGGCATAACTTCTTGACTTAAAAAAACATACAATTGTGGATTTCACCTGAATAATGGACATCATATATACAAGAGGATACAAATATGTGTTTAGTGAACAAAGAAAACTGATGATATTTACCATTAATCACAATGCTAGGGAACCTCACATTTTAACTTAAATATACATAATTAAAAGTAGGTACGTAAGGTGGTAACGAAAATTGCACTTTGATGCCCTCTACCAAAATATCGACCTTAAGAGTTGTCCTGTCACGTCATTATAGCAACACTTCGTATATGCATACAAGTATATACATATGTATGTACACATTTACTACACATGAGAGATGTATGATGAAGGTAGTGAAAGCAGAATCGAAGGAAATCACGCATACCCAAACACACCGACTCATGGAACCAAAATTTCCAGATATCTACCTACAAGTGAACATTAAACATATAAAAACAACCCTATTAAGTACATTGAGGAATGGTGTTGAAGCGTTCGTCGACCCTTCAAACAGCTGTTCTTGAAGAGATCGTAGTTTAAAATACAAATTATATGCACAAATATGTAGAATATACTAACACATTTATAAACAGATGAATCCATGTGATTCTTGCTGTTTAATGTTTTATGAACTTCCATACATAGGTAAGCATATAAACGTCGTGGTAGTTAATGATCTACTGAGGGAATGGAGATATCATACTGAAGTATAAAAAAAAAAAAAAAAAAAATGCAACAACTCGTCAATTTCCGAAGTCTTTATATTAAACAAAAAAAAAAAAACTAGTAAAAGCAATAATGCTTTACCACGTTCTTTGTGGGTTTCTTAACCACTCTTTACTTTAAACTTAAATT